GAAAGGATTCTGATTTCAACCGTTGCGTATATTAGCTACGACATATGAATCAAGATGCTATGACTGAACAAATTTGATTGACCAATAAACGTTGATATATGATTGGCTGAATTTAGATGTACAAGCTGACGTAGAACTAACTGGCCTGCAGAAGATAACGGAAAAAAAACAACAACAAAGAATTTAAGACAGGATTGTTTTTCAAATAGAAATTTTCTAACTTTTGGGACAATATGGTCTAATAAAGAGAACATTTATATACATGTTTAACCCAGAATGATTTGACATTTAAACATTACTTCCCTACAACCTTAAATTTAATGTGTGGAAATAAAAATCTGAATCAGTTTCATTTACAGGAAACATGATCATTTGGGATGGAAACACCTGCAGCTCATATAATAATCCACTCCCATTCATCCACGTCCCACTTTTCACAGCACCAGCTGGTCCGCCTTCCAGCCAATAGGAAGCAGCCACACGGTGGAGCCGACCAATCACAGAGCTTGGATCCTTCATAATAGTAAACGCTCAAGAGTTTTATAACAAAAGCTTTTTAGGACTTCCTGCAGGTGTTGAATTTGATATTTAATCTATTTCATTTATATATAAAGATGCTCCAAGAGTTTAAAAGTATGTTAATAAATAAAGGTGGAATTGTTCCTCCTCTCTAGCTGGAATGAATCTGTTGTCTCACCTCATAAGCTGCTCCCAGGTCTGCGAACTTGTCCTGTGCTTTGGGGTCGTCAGGGTTCCTGTCGGGGTGCAGCTGCAGAGCTAGCTTTCTGTAGGCCTTCTTGATGTCCCTGATGGATGCATCCTTACTCACCCCCAAGATCTTATAGAAATCTCGGCTACATCAGAGAGGGAGAGAGGCGTCATGGTGGCAGTTATTCTAGCTACAGAAACACACACAGCTCTGCTGCTGCTGCTGCTCCCTGTCCTGGAAGGGATGCTGCAGGTCAGCAGCTAAAGTCCCTCTGAACCGATGCTAACTCCGAGCTAACTCTGCTAACTACACCAAAACATTAGAGCTTTACAGCTAAAACATCTGGGATTTACAGAATAAAGGAGAAAACACAGCCGCCGTCAGAGGCAGAGCTCCCTGTCAGCCAGCTCTGCTCCTCACATGCTTAGACCAATCACAGCTAAACATGTGTCCCATCCGGCGGCGCCGTTCCACCGCCGCTTCCCTCCGGAGGAGAGCCGCCTACCTGGCTAGCACCGCCGTGATGACGTAGAGCAACAGGCAGCAAACGGTCCAGATGTTCATCCCTTTCTTTGCCATAGATCCCCGGAGTTAAGAAGACGGCGATGGAGAAGGTAACAGCCCCGGCTTTTCAAGCTAAGATCCGGCTGTTTCTTACAAGCCTTCTTCCTCCTGTCACAAAGACCCCGCCCACCGAAGCGTGGCCACTGACTCCGCCCACATTTAAAGGGGCCGCAACCTAAAGATTCATCAAACGGACCAGGTTTGGCACAATGTATGATATAGATGGGCAGAATTCAAAGTATTTATATTTGTGTGTCTGTATGCATGTATAATATATATATATATATATATATTTGTTTCAGTCAGAAAATGTGGTGGGAAAAAAAAAGAAAAAAAAA